ACCTTACCCCTACTCTGGGGTAGAGAGGCTGTTTCCGATAGACCCTCGGCTCCTTCCCTCCAAAAACTCTCCGCCTTGCTCTTGGGGTGACTCGAATTCACAACCTCTTGGTTGGAAGTGGATAGTGTTCACCACTAGAGCAACAATGTGAAATATCCCCTTGATTTATATTGTTACTTTCTCTTTAGTCAACTAAATTATGTATTTCTTGACTTCGTTGCTTAAACTACCTACTTTCCTTGCTTCATTATATATAATTGTGTTTGACTAGATACATACTTAAAAAACTAAAAAACTTTTAACACATGCCAAAAATACCCTTAAAACTTGTGATCTTAAACATATTATAACATTTTCATGGTTATAGGAGCACGTCTTTAAGGGTAAATAAATAAGTATAAATTAAAATTTTCAAATATAAAAATGTCTTTTTTTTTTGGAACATACTATCATATAAAATTGGAGTAAACTTTCATGCAATTTTAAGTCATATTGTTTGCTACTTCGCTTTCTTAAAGACCCCTGTATAATCTCTGACAAGCTTAAGCTTGTATAGTTGCACAAAATACCTTTAGACCTAGAACATAAGAGAGTTTCTTAAGAAATGAAGGCATGAAAATGAGACAGTTTCTTCAATATTACAGCTGCTCCGGCATTTGGCCAGACTAAATTATGTAGTCAATAAAGGACGCTACAAGTTCCTAACGGCATAACCAGCTGAGGCAAGCAAATTTTTAGACCTCCTAGTTGACGCCTGTTTGATGTTTTCTAGCCATGAAACAAACTCCAACATCCCTGCAAGGAGAGACATTAGGTGTATGTTCATATGTGGAGCGCGAATCTGGATTAGTCAGCTGATGAGTTTTAAGATATCGAATGGTTAAACTAAAAAAAGAAAAGGTTTCATGTGTGAATACATAATAGGCATGTAACGATATATTCTTACCAAAGAGGAGTCTTAGTTGGATGTAGCGGAGGCCTGTCTTGAATCTAGAGAGCATGACTTCTATGGCGGAATCTGAATGTTTTTTATGCAATTTAAACCGAAATCCAAACAAAAGGCAGGAAGAGAGAACATCATAGGTCAATAATTAGTTAATAACAACAACAACAACCAAAAACCCTATGTAATCCCACAAGTGGGGTCTGGGGTAGTGCGTACGCAGGCCTTACCCCTACCTTGTGAGGGTAGAGAGGTTGTTTCCGATAGACCCTCGGCTTAAGAAACACAAACAGGAAGCAATAATTAGTTAATAACCTCCTTCAGAAAACCATTGAGCAATAAGATTCAAATTCACATGCGCACCAAATTGAAAATCCCTTCAGTAGGATCGTGCAAGTTAAGAAATCATAGCTTTCACTTTCTTCTTTATTTCCAAATATTTTAAATGACAAATTAAATAACTCAACATAATGTTATTCTAATTAATAGTTTGGAAATCAAAAAATTATTTTTGGAAGGTCTCAATTTGGAAGAAAGAGGACCCTTAATTTGAGATGGCTTGCTAAAAACTTGTCAAGACCTGAAGGATACTACAAGAAAGATGAAGCTTACCAGATGTAGAGTCAACCTTCAAAGAAAGACCATATAGTGCATATTCAGCATATGCTAGTAATCGGACTCGCAAGGGAGCACCCAACTTGCTGATCAGAGATCTTAGGAGCCCACTGAATTTAAGAGATTTTAGCATTACAAATCAAATATCATTGTTCAAAAGAGGAAAGGAGAAAGAAGGGAAACACAACCATCCTTACTCGGTACGCAATACTGTGAGAAAATCAGCAGGCAGAGATTCCATGAAGGAA